ATAGTTATGTTTTACGAGTTGATCACGGATTGATATCAATTAGAGAACCATTGAAAACCAGGGAGTACTGGACAGCTGCTGTTTCATCCTAGTTTGGGAATCATCGGCAGTACGCACCCACTGCGTTTCGAACCCAGGACCTTCCGGTTACAAGGCCAGCGAGCTCGTATACCATTCAGCCACTGGGACCCGATTCAATGGCTCATGAATTCTGACTTCTACCAATTTGTGATTTAGCGCGACCCCAACCATTGTTGTTGGTGGGACATCCATCCACACACGTGACATCACGAGCCATTGAATCGGGTCCCAGTGGCTGAATGGTATACGAGCTCGCTGGCCTTGTAACCGGAAGGTCCTGGGTTCGAAACGCAGTGGGTGCGTACTGCCGATGATTCCCAAACTAGGATGAAACAGCAGCTGTCCAGTACTCCCTGGTTTTCAATGGTTCTCTAATTGATATCAATCCGTGATCAACTCGTAAAATTACGTGCAGTATTAAATCTACTATTGGGCAGATTATATATAAAATTCTAGTTCAAATTATATGTCACTGATTATCTAACTAGTAGGAAGTCGCTGTTATAAACATAAAACTTTAGCATTGTGCTGGTAGAGTTAAACGCCATTATAGATGAGATTTTATTTTGATAAAGTTTCACAGTGTTATAAAGTAATATTAACTGATCACCACGTTTTGAGCATAATCTATCACTGCTCATAATGGTATCAAGTCACTGACACAACTTATGAACATTGATTTGTGCTGAAAACGTTGTCATCAGTTAACATTATTCTACAGCACTGTTTGATTTTTCAAAATCTTATTCATAATGGAGTTATACTCTAACAGCCCGATGCTCAGGTTTTCTACTAATATCATTGACTCAATATTTATACTTATTTTGATGTTTCAGCTGACTTTGTATTTAGTGGGAGGATCTCATCATGAGCTGACAGTCAGTTAGAGAACCACTGGAAAACAGGGAGTACTGGACAGCTTCCTGATTGCAATTGATTGGATAATGCGACAGACAACGGCAACCAACGAGGGAACAGGCATAAAATGGACTGACACAAAAGACTTGGAGGATCTGGATTTCGCCGATGATATATGTCTGATTTCCCATAAACTGGAAGATATGCAAGTGAAAAGTAACAAGCTGGCAGAAGAAGCATCAAAGATAGGACTTCACGTGAACATAGATAAAACAGAGATAATGAAGATTCCTAGCCAACATCAACAACACCAACAGACCACAATAAGCATAAATGGGAAGAACCTGAAAGAAACAACCTCCTTCACCTACCTGGGAAGCATTCCGTCTATAATGACTGATGCTTGTTGTTGTCCTTGTTGGCTGGTTAATTATCTTCATCATCACCGTCTTCTCTATGTTCACTTGGAGTCCTGTCTCCACTGTACTGCTTCTTCTGACAGCTTGCTGGTTTTCTCTGGTATGTGTTCGAGTTTGTGTGGCATCAGACATAAATCGTCTTCGAAGTCCATATCTTCTAGAGTCTTCGTATCTGTCCAATGTATTCCTCTCTTCTGGCTCGACACTCACGATATCCCGTGTAATCCAGTCTACCATAATTAGTACTACCATACCTTCATTAACAGCTGTCTCCGCTCAATACTCAAGATCAGATGGCCAGAAAAGATCAGCAACAGGGATCTCTGGCAATGAGCGAACCAATCAGGAACCGATTGTGAAACAAATAGGCAGAAAGAAATGGAGATGGATTGGCCATACGCTGAGGAAACCATCAAGTGACATCACTGGACAAGCCATCACTCGAGTGGAACCCGAAAGGGAGGCGGCGAGTTGGTCGTCCAAGGGTGACTTGGAGGAGGTCATGCGAGGAGGAGATGAAAGCATGTGGACAGACCTGGAGCAGGGTGAAAAAGTTGTCAGAAAACCGAAGTCAATGGAGGTGCGCAGCTGAAGCCCTATGTTCCTCTAGGAACTAAAGGATACAATAATAATAATAATGGACAACTGTTTAGTCAGTCTAGTTTAAGACTATTCACTATGGTTTAAACTCAGAACCTTCTGGTTACAAAGCGAGCTCGTAGACCATTAAGTCACTGGGGCTGCGTACTGATTAAGAGTCCCAAACTAGGCTAACCAAACAGCTGTCCAGTACTCCCTGTGGTCGGTTTTCCAATGGTTCTCTAACTGATGCCAGCTCGTGATGAGATCCTCTGAGCAATCAAACCAGATCTCGACAAAAACCAATACCTGTCTTTATAAATGTCATTCATTTTTCTTCTAGACCTTGTCTCAGTGTTCTGACATTTGCGTATCTCATATGTTGATTTGATCCTTATTAGTATTTGACTTTGTCCTTGCTTAGTCTCTAACTACGGCATTCCTTGTTGTGGTTGAGAGACACGTTGATGTTTTGCTGTTTTACGATTTCAGTTGTGTCTGATGAAGTCAAGATCGTTCGGACGCTTGACTGTCTGTCTAGGGGAACTATCAGCTTGGGATTCTCGTGATAGACGGAGGTTTCAATCCCACTTTGTTGGGAATATTCTACTCGATTCTAAGTAATCTTTTTATATTTAGACCGGATTGCATAACTGCCTAACTGGTCTATAGAGTTTTTCATGTTGTTATTGTTTGAAAGTGACTGTAATTTATTGAAAAAATAATCATGTTTTTTTTAACAGCCTTTGAAGCATTTCGTGACTGCATGTGTCTTATGGAGGTTTTGCCAACTACAGAGTAGGTTTCCAAGATCTGTTTCCTACACTCAGACCCCAATGAGTCAATTTGATTGTAGTACTTACACTATTTAGCGTATTGAGTAAACAAACTTTTTTTGATTACAGCTTGATTCCAAACTGTATTTTTGGTAGAAATATGGAATTTTCAGCATGGATATCGGTAGCCCAAATTTTGCAGGCTGACCATAGATATCAGTTGTCAGTCGGCAGGGGATTGAACCTCAGACCATGTGCATGGTCGGCGAGAGTCTTAACCACCGTGCCACCGATGCACTTACGTGTAACTAAAATACTTTTTTCTATAGTTTGGTTTGTAAGGTGTAGTTTTGTTTTTACGAGTTGATCACGGATTGATATCAGTTAGTATTATTATTAATATATCATTCAATTCCTAGAGGAACATATGGCTTCAGCTGCGCATCTCCATTGCCTTCTATTTTCTGCTAGCTTTTTCACCCCACTCCAAGTCTGCCCACACGCTTTCATCTCCTCTACACATGACCTCCTCCAATTCACCCTTGCAGTGACGACCAACTCGCTGACTCTCTTTCAGTTTCCACTCGAGTCATGGCTTGTCTAGTGATGTCACTTGACGGTTTCCTCAGCCTATGGCCAATCCAATCCATCTCCATTTCTTCGTGCCCATTTGTTTCACAATCGGTTCCTGGTTGGTTCGCTCATCGCCAGAGATCCCTGTTGCTGATCTTTTCTGGCTGGTCATCTATCTGATTTTGAGTATTGAGCGAAGACAACTGTTAATGAAGGTCTGAAGTTTGTTTGAGATGCTCTTTATGACGCGCTGGTCAAGTCTCTGATCCGTATAGTACTGTTGACTTTGCATTGGAGTTGAAAATCCGGATCTTATTTTTGATGCTGAGTACTAGGTTGATAAAACAGCTGTCCAATACTCCTACCTGCTTTTCAATGGTTCTCTAACTGATTTCAATCCGTGATCAACTCATCAAATACTTCTTTTTTATCTTATACTAATATTCTAAATCAGTACTGATCTTTTTTTCAGTGAAGACTGAAATGATTACTGAAAATTTCAGTTTTAAAACAGGTGGTATCAGCTTCAAAATGTTATTCTCGACCGCTTGCTTTCACCACCTAGTGGGCTTGGGAAAAAAAGAATCCCCATTTAGCATAGTTCTATGCAACAGATGAAACGATGTAATGTTAACCTTTTATATCATAAATGATACTAGAGGTATATGGGGTGATCACATCTCAAATTATGTTCCTTTTGTTGTATTTTTCGCTTTCTTTCAGTGCCTTTATCAGATGAATTATTGTAATGCACGAATGTCCTTATTAACATCATAGAAATGAAATTTACACGCACACACACACACATACACACACACAAACACCAGTTTCTGTTAATCTTTTTCACCTATTTATCACCATGTCAGTTAGAAGTAATAAAAAAGAAATGTGCTAAATAAACGGTTACAACATGAACACCGACCATCATGTGTGTGTGTGTGTGTAAGTGTGCGTGATATCTATATTAGATCTTTTTCTCAGTCGTTGTTGCTTCTCCCCTCCTGTGTGTCTGAATTATTTTTGTGTTCGTGTGTGAATTTTCCGTATTTTTTCCTTTTGCATATTTCATCGGCAATCTGTCATTCAATGCCTATTTGGATTTCATCAATTCCTTCCATATATATATATTTTTTGTTCTCTTCTTTTACCTCTCTCTGTTTTCTACATTATAAACGAAAGCCTTTGAATAAAAAAACAAATCTAACGATCATCATCATCACCATCATCATCATCGTCGTCGTGCATAAGTGCTTGTGTGTGTACTGTAATGCCTATAGTGTTGCTTTATTGTTCTGTTTCGTATTCTGCTCTGCTTATCACTTCTATATTACTGTGAATGATCGTGTCAATTATTTGTTGCCTACAGCCATATGTATATATATATATACTATTATTATTATTATCACAATAACGCAGATACATGTGTATTGCCTAAATGTATATTCAGGTTATCACTATCATCATTGCATTTGTTATTATTATTATTAATATTTAAAAGTAAACTAGACTGAAGAATAAAGCTTCAGGGCAGGAATGAATCAACTCTACACTATTGTTTCATTTTCAATTTGAAATCAACACATGTTTAACTAACCATCTTTAAGCCCTTGTTTATATATGTGGATGAAATGAAGAAAACGATGGAGATAAGGAGTGATGATACACAGTAACAGTTATAATAGTAATAATAATAATAATGTCAAAGAGAAATTACTGTAACAACAGAAGACAAGGGCCAGGCAACAGATCGTTTTATTATGAAAATCAACACGTATTTATATATATTTCACATACATTATTATAGCTTATGCGAGTAGACAAGCACAGTCATCAGAGTGGTTGTTTATCAAAAGTTAAGCAGACAAACGCAGACTTCTGATTGGTTGTTTCGGGATTCCTCGACAAATAGAGTTCTCTATCTGCGAATCATATTTTGCCACGTAAACTTTGCTGTGATTGGTTGTTGGATCAGCCTTGCTCATATTTTCTCACGGCCTGCTCTCACTACACTCGTCCCCCCGTCAAATACGTGCGACTGAAGTCGGCTTGATCTACTTGGTGCAGGCGTCATCGTTGGCTTGTCTCGCTGTATCCACTTCTGGAGTTCTCTGACGTTCACGCGCCTCTCATTGTTCGTCATTGCGATTGTGTCCACGTAATCCCATCTCGAAGTGACTATATGTGGTCCTTCCCACTTTGGAAACTGTTTGCCTGACCCTGTCGAACATTCGTCAGTATTTCGTCTCACACTTTCATATGCTGCTTTCGCCCGACCTCCCAGCAGCGTCCCAAGTAGCAGCTCCATCGCTGACAGATCTTGAACGCCACTCAACTGCGCAGAAGCCTTGAAGTCCTGCCCGAAGATCCATATGTCTCCATCAAAAACAGCAGGGCATAGGCTTTCCATTTGTCGGTAGGCAGCGACACCAAATGTAACAACAGAAGACAAGGGCCAGGCAACAGATCGTTTTATTATGAAAATCAACACGTATTTATACATATTTCACATACATTATTATAGCTTATGCAAGTAGACAAGCGCATTCATCTGATTGGTTGTTTATCAGAAGTTAGGCAGACAAACGCAGGCTTCTGATTGGTTGTTTCGAGATTCCTCGACAAATAGCGTTCTCTATCTGCGAATCATATTTTGCCACGTAAACTTTGCTGTGATTGGTTGTTGGATCAGCCTTGCTCATATTTTCTCACGGCCTGCTCTCACCCCATTACCACATAATCTATCTCTCAGAATCTAGTTTACGTCAGAAACAGAATCAGACGTCGATGAACTAACATTCCTAGACTGCCTGGCTAGTTAAGAGGAGGGAATTATGGACAGTTTAGTATATCTAGATTCACGAAACAAATCCACTCGAGGAACAAATATTTAGATTTCGGATCATCACACCCTAGCAGCTCAAAGGTATCAGTTGTTTCAGGTCTTCTTAGAGAAAAAACACACTCTTTGATGAAGAAATATTAAACATTATTGAGACTCTCAAGTAAAATAACTATTCAAAGAACTTCATCAACAAAATCAATACTGACATTAGGTATAGTCGAAAAAGTATTCCGAAAACATGGAACTCAACAGTTATCATTCAGATGATATCAGAAGAGTACTCACCAAGTTAGGCATCAGAGTTTTCTTCAAAACATCAGACACACTAAGAAGCAACTGTGTTCATATATAAGACTAAATCCTTAAAGATTCTCTGTCTGATTGTGTCTATAAAATAAAATGCTTGCTTGAAATGTTATACGTTATACATCGGACAAACATCGCCAGAAAGAAATAAAAATGAGCAAAAAATGAACACCGTACAGCATCTGCCTGACGACGCAGAAATACACTTGAACTGGAAAGGCTGGAAAAATCATCATCCATAGATCTACAAAATTGATTTTTACAATATTTAAATAATTTCAGAAATCACAAATATTATCAGAGGGCACTTCATATCAAGTGGAATCCGAATTTTCTGAATAAAAATGATGGATTCAAACAGAGTTTAAAGTGGTTACAACACCTCCGTCCCCAAAATCATCACGAATGTAATAAGCGATTTCGTTATGTAAACACTTACTGCTTTTATAATTTTATACACTCATCAAATCCAACTATATACCCCTGGTTTTATTATATTTATCAAATGACCAACTTGACACCTCAAAAGTGACCCAATACTGAGGATTGAGTTGTTGTATATAACCAGCGGCAGCATTAAATAGCGAAACGTTCATTCAATGAGGAATGCAAGAAGACCTTTATTATAATGAATATCATATATCCAATACCCAAATTTTTTCAAACTGTTAAATGTGAACTTGGTCAGGACATACATAACAGAATCTACCTGTGTTTACATCCTAAGGTTTGAGACTGTTTGAATGGAAGATATAAGTCAGCAAAGAGACATCTCTTTTTCTATCACTGACTGCTGCAATTACAGACGTTACTAGTTTTCTATTCTGGTTCATCAGTGTCTTTCTATGACATTGTCAGTTTATATACACGTATACTCATCATCAGAACTTACCCAATGGGTTTTCGAAACTAGGACCTTCTGGTTACAAGACAAGCTCGTCGATCATTCCGCAACTAGTATAATTTAAAATTCATGGGCCACTGAATAGAGTCCCAGTGGTTAAGTGGTATACGAGCCTGCCTTGTAACTGGAAGGTCTTGAGTTCAAGCTCCAGTGGATACATACTGCTGACGAATCTCAAACTAGGAAGAAACAGATGTTTTGTACTCCTAACTGATATCATTTCCGTGTCTATTTATGCAATGTAGATTGACAACAGATGTCGGTGATTATTGTCAATTGCTAACAAATTAAAGTGAGTGAGCAATAACCATATCCGAAAAATTAAGAACAGTCTTACTTAGTCAAGAGAGTTGATAGCTCATTAGATGAGTAATGAATAAACATTTGGAAATACTCGATAAGAGAACAAAAAATTGAAATTGAATTGCGAGAACATTAATTGGACTACATAGAGCTTATTATACAGTTAGTTATTCAGGAAGACAAACAAGGGAGAAAATATGAAAAAGAAAGGTAGTGCCAAAGCCATGGTATTGTGTGAGTAGAGATTAAATGTCTCTGAATACAAAGTTTAGATTTCTCGTTAACCAATGCTAAGATTTAAGCTGCATGAAGAAGATGTAGGCGAAATTCGTTTGAACGACTTGTTCATACCTTATACAAGATTTCGTAAGAAGTTACTGCTGATGCTTCATGATCAGAAGTAATAAAATGCTCCATATATTAGCTACTAACTGTTCTGCCTTGTTCTGCAATGTCATTCAACGGCCTTCTGAATGTGTGCCTGGTCGATCTCTATTTTTAATCCTCGCCTGTTGTTCTCAGATAGAGTTTGGTGTTGTAAATTCTTTCTAGCCAGTTGGCTGGCCGGCCAATCAGTCTTCAATATAGAACCAGTAAACATGGAAGCTAGCTGTTGATAAAAGTTTGTAGCTGACTGTTAGAAATGCATTTCATGACACGCAATACAAGTTTCTCAACGCCTTATAGAAGAACTAACTGACTGATTTACTTCACATTTGTGTTGAAAATCTGAATCTTGTTGTTTATGCTGTCTGAGACTATGCAAAATATTTCCAAACTGGTCTTAGATTGATGAAGGCGTGTGTCTCCTTTCCGATTCTGTCTGTCTGGCTGGCTGGCTGGCATTGACATCTTCGTCCATTCAGCCCGTCTGTGGTTGAAACTCTGCCTCCTGGCTGGTCTAGTGAAGGAGGTAACTTCTGTTAAATCTCTTGCGTTGATGGTGATCGTTTCTGCTTATGGTGGTTGACTACCTTCATCATCTCCGTCTTTTTTATGTTAATCTGGAGTCCTGTCTTCGCCACTTTCCTCTTCAGTGAGTAAGTTGGTTTTCGCCTGTAAGTCTTCCAGTTTGTGTGACATTAAGGTTAAATCGTCCACGAGCGATATCTATATCTATCTATCTATCTGTCTAAATCGAGTCTTCCTATAGGTGCTCCAGCGTATTACTGTCCTCTCACTCCCACACACACACAGAGTGACGCATAATCCAGTCCACCACAGTTAAGAATATTATCGTATGTGATAATAAGCAGCCAGCTTGTCTTACTCCTATATTCATGTTGAACACCTCACTGAGTTTTCCATTGTGGATTACTTGACACACTGCATATATATAAACTCGCTGAATACCTGTACAACTTTGAAGTGAATTAATGAAAAGTGATTTCTTGACTAACTTATGCATTCTTGATAACATCAGATGTAGATTTTCGAATGCCTGAATCTCTTTTATTCTTTCTTTTTAATCACCTGAACAAGTGGAAAAGTCAACTATCTATTAACGTCTATAAATACATATACTTGTCATTTATATTCAGCGTGATTTCTGTTTCCAAATGGTATAATAAATGAATGTAAATATGTTTATTTCAATTGGATACCGATCAGTGATAATAGTGTCGAAATTGAATTTTCCTCTTTATTTCACGAACATATTTTACAACTGATGTAAGTTTTTTGGATGAAAGAGAAGTTTAAAAAATTAAAACAGGTGTTTTAACCTCGGAAACTTTTCAACGAATTCACTTTCAATCTGTATGTCTTCGAAAGGGGGTTGTAGAATTAATAAGACTAACATGGGATTAAAACATTACGCAATAGGATAAGAAACTATGCTAAGGAAACACTGTAAATAAGTTATATTCAGTTAAATAAATAAATAAATAAATAAATAAAGGCGATAAATAAAAGAATATCGAGATTTTAGTAGAACGTCGTGACCTATGGGATCCATACTGACAGGAATGAGTACAAATACTCTGCAATGATATTAGCTGGTACTCGCTTTGAAATCACGAATTGATAGAATTTAGAATTCGAAGGCTGACCACAGAGTCGGGTCCCAGTGGTTGAATGGTCCATGAGGTTACCTGGTGACTGTAAAGGCCCTAGATATGAACCTTGTGGATACTGCTGATGAGTTTCAAAATGGGAAGAAACACCAGTGCGGTACTATCTAGTCCTTGATCAAACAGTTCAAATCCCTTCAAATCAACTCTTGAAAAATTATGCCAGAAATTATTTGAAGTAAAAATGGTGGTAACAATCGAAACAATAAGAAGAGGATATATACACTGAATTAACAGAACGAAAAATGAGTGGGGTCAAATTGGGTTTGGGATCTCTAATAGTTAAGCATAGATAGACGAACCAATACCATGAGAGATGGCGTGGTCGAACAAACGCTTTTTCTATGTTAAGCAATGACTTCTCTGTTTCAATCATAAATAGATTATTTTACACTTTATAGAAAACTTTAAAGGAAGAGGCTATAGAGATATGGTGATCAGTATTTATCAGAATTTCGAGTTTTGAGGTTCCTCTAGTCCTACCTCCACCTGTTCGCAACCGCCAATGACAGTGTTCTTGCATCCATTTTCAGTAAACCTACATCGAAGACCGACATATTGAGAGCTGGTTGATAAACATTTAGTTAGTCAACTGTGGAGTCTTTTGTGTCACGTATTTGAATATAATAACGGTTGGCTAGAAAACACCATCAGTGCGTTGGTAGCACAGTGGTTTGGACACTCGCCGACCATACACATGGTCTGGGGTTCGATCCCCTGCCGACTGACACCCGATATCTATGGTCGGCCTGCAAAACTTGGGCTACCGATATCACATGCTGAAAATTCCATACTTGTACAGAAAATACGGTTTGGGATCAAGCTGTAATCAAAATAAAAATCAAAATAAATAAAATAAAATAAATATAATAAAAATTATGGAAATACTTAACGAATAGCGGCCATAGAATGTGGACGCATCACCTTGAACACGCACAATTCTTTGAATTACCTAACCTGTCATTATTATAGTGCCGTACACGGACAGATATGTGGATTCCAACCTGATGTGACTTTTACGTACTGT